GTTATGAAACAATGTCATTAACTATTACTGAATGTATGGACATGTTATGAAACAGTGTCATTAACTATTACTGAATGTATGGAGAAGTTATGAAACAGTGTCATTAACTATTACTGAATGTTTGGACATGTTATGAAACAGTGTCATTAACTATTACTGAATGTATGGAGAAGTTATGAAACAGTGTCATTAACTATTACTGAATGTATGGACATGTTATGAAACAGTGTCATTAACTATTACTGAATGTATGGAGAAGTTATGAAACAGTGTCATTAACTATTACTGAATGTATGGACAAGTTATGAAACAATGTCATTAACTATTACTGAATGTATGGACAAGTCATGAAACAATGTCATTAACTATTACTGAATGTATGGACATGTTATGAAACAGTGTCATTAACTATTAACTGAATGTATGGACAAGTTATGAAACAATGTCATCATTAACTATTACTGAATGAAACAATATTAACTATTACTGAATGTATGGACAAGTTATGAAACAATGTCATTAACTATTACTGAATGTATGGACAAGTTATGAAACAATGTCATTAAAACAATGTCATTAACTATTACTGAATGTATGGACAAGTCATGAAACAATGTCATTAACTATTACTGAATGTATGGACAAGTTATGAAACAATGTCATTAACTATTACTGAATGTATGGACATGTTATGAAACAGTGTCATTAACTATTACTGAATGTATGGAGAAGTTATGAAACAATGTCATTAACTATTACTGAATGTATGGACAAGTTATGAAACAATGTCATTAACTATTACTGAATGTATGGACAAGTCATGAAACAATGTCATTAACTATTACTGAATGTATGGACATGTTATGAAACAGTGTCATTAACTATTACTGAATGTATGGAGAAGTTATGAAACAGTGTCATTAACTATTACTGAATGTATGGACAAGTTATGAAACAATGTCATTAACTATTACTGAATGTATGGACAAGTTATGAAACAATGTCATTAACTATTAGACAAGTTATGAAACAATGTCATTAACTATTACTGAATGTATGGACAAGTTATGAAACAATGTCATTAACTATTACTGAATGTATGGAGAAGTTATGAAACAATGTCATTAACTATTACTGAATGTATGGACAAGTTATGAAACAGTGTCATTAACTATTACTGAATGTATGGACAAGTCATGAAACAATGTCATTAACTATTACTGAATGTATGGACAAGTTGAAACAATGTCATTAACTATTAGACAAGTTATGAAACAATGTCATTAACTATTACTGAATGTATGGAGATGTTATGAAACAGTGTCATTAACTATTACTGAATGTATGGACAAGTTATGAAACAATGTCAGTGCTAGGTCATTTTGTCTAAGAGTGAGACAGCATGGTATGATAATACAAGGCAGCTAGTTTACCATTTCTTCTCAATTCAAGTTCTATATAATATAGGTGAGCTCCAGTACCATTGAGTGCTGTCATTTTTCAAACTAATTCAAAATATGTCAGGTATATTTCAAAGCTGCTATTTTTCAAAATACCAAACTCTTGCTTCTTGATAATGTGTTCCTGGTAGTAACAGATATATTGTACTGATAACAAACAGGCACAAAGTTCTTTGACAAAATAGTAATTGTTTTTGATTTTTGTTTGTTTTGTTGGTTGTGAAACATTTGGTATGTTATCCACAGTAGTTGTTGTTCTCACTTTATACTGGAACACTTGGCAAAGTATGTTCAAAAGAAATTGTTTGTGTAAACTTTTGTTTGATTATCAGATAATATGAGGCTTAGCCATGCCAGAGTATTGTTACCATTACAATTATCGATCCAAATGAAAATACTCTGGATAAATCTGGTTGTTGATCAAATAAACAGAACTCAACCCCAAATCTGGCCGACTTTGATCATTATGTGGTGCCGGAAACACAACTGGAAGCAACTGTGAAAGAAATACCTGTAAATTGTCGTAATTGTCAGAGACAAATTGCCCTGGGCATGCTGAGTATGAAACAAGTTGTTAGATATAACTGTCCATTATAATTGAAAGCTAAACCTTATTCCAAAAATATAAATTTCCAAAGCATTTTTTGACAACTTGTGCCAAAATATGTAATTTGTTCTTAAGGAAAATCACTTCTCAAAGTAAAAAATAGATATCTTCAAAGTTAATTTGTAGAAGTTGTAAAAACAAGTCTGAAAGTAACCATAGCAACTGTAGAAATTGTCACGTTTCAGTTTGTAATACAATTAAGTGAACATGAGATTTTACGTGATTGTTATTCTTGCAGATAGTGTTTCAGACAGTTTGTCCAAACAACTGGGAGTTCCGTGCGTCACAGCTGTATTCCTGTATTCAATTAGCTTGGCAAATGGCAGACTAATAACACACTGAAACTGAATAATGGATCTATTCATGAGTAGAGATCTTGATGAGCTAACATTACAATATTATTTACTTACAGTTCAATGAATAGTGAGTGGATGGAACAGGTTGCAAGTCGGTTATTTGCGACATTTATATCACCTACTCAGGGTGTCAAAATAATGTCATTGTTGAGGCTTGTAGTCTGTGATTTTGTCCATCTTCCATGGGTGGGTCAGCGGTACAAGGTACTGCTATTCAACCTGCACAGGTAGCCTAATGGTTACAGCTGAGGATCTGGGTTCGTTTCCCACATGGGTACGATGTGTGAAAACCATTCCTGTTGTCCCTTGTTAATGTTCTGAACTTGACCCCCCCAAACTTTCATCCGCTGATTGAACTGCAATATTGCAGTATGTCTGTAAGATTGGGACCCGTGAAGGTCCGGGTTAGAATATTGATCTTTAGTAACCCATGCTTGTCGTAAGAGGCGACTAAAGGGATCGGGTGGTCAGGCTCGCTGACTTGGTTGACACATGTCATCAGTTCCCAATTGCGCAGATCGATGTTCATGCTGTTGATCACTGGATTGTCTGGTCCAGACTCGATTCTTTACAGACCGCCGCCATATAGCTGGAATATTGCTGAGTGCGGCATTAAACTAAATTCATTCACTCATTCACTCACTGTAAGATTGGAGTATATATACTTGGCCCAGAACAGCAACATCCTCAGAGAGCAGCTGTGTTACTAAGGCTAGTGGTTCAAGTGATTATTTGTCATGCTCAAAACTTAGGTTTGATTCTTCACATTGGTGCAAATTAGTGAAACCATGTTAATAGCAACCATTGTGGTATTGCTAAAGTGTCTCAGTTTCTTCTTGCACACCTTTTCGGAAGGTATGTGTTTCCTTTCTAGGGGAATAACGTCAAAAATCAAGTGTGTTGCCATGTTAACCACTGTTACAATGTTACAGCTCGTGTTTCTGTTAATCATTATCACATTATATGGCCATGATTTACTGCTGGTAAACAAATATATGCCATGTGGTGTTATTCAAAACATAGCAGCGCTGTTGAATATTACAGCAAATGTTTAATCAATAAGCTTGCCTGTACAGCATGAAAATTTAATTGGAGCAATATCAGCTTCCAGCACAGCCATATTTACAAGTAACGGTGAGAACAACTGTGGAAGAATACAGGGGTGTCGGGTGGTCGTGAAGGGGAGTTGGGTGGGTGTGGTTGAGGTAGCACAGGTGTTGGGTGTGGTTGGGGGTTAGGGAGGCAGAAGTGGGTTGATATGGTGGGGTAGGAGTGATTGGTTGATCTGAGAGGAGGCAAGGGTGTTTTGTGTGTGTGGGGGCTGCTGGTGGTTGGCTGGGAGGGCAGGCCGGTGGGTTGATATGGTGGGGGCAGGAGTGATTGGTTGATATGAGAGTAGGCAAGGGTGTTGTGTGGGGTAGTTTGGCAGGGAGGCAGGCTGGGTTGATATGGTGGGGTGGGGTTGTTTGGTTGATATGAGGGTAGGCAAGGGTGTCGGGTGTGGTTGGGGTTACTGAAGCAGTTACATATATGGTAATTAATTTAAAAAGATATGTTTGATTGTTCACCAAATTGATGACATACACAAACAATGTCAATGTTCAGATGGTACCTCAGCTTGCTTTAACTGCTCATCCATTTCTACCACTGTCGTTCATTTGAAATAACAACTGGTGAGCTTCTGGATTTGCTCATTAGAGAAAACGACCCTAAAGGCATAAATACCAGTCTGGTTGGAATAAGTTCTTGTTTGTACCAATTACTCTGGTATTAAGAAAGCCGTGGTTTCATTGATTTAGGGAGGGCAAGGTGGGACGATTGTCTTCCTTCATGACATATCAGGGTCTCAGTGTGGGAAAATTCCACCAATCTGAACAAATCAATATCCAATCTGTTTGGGCAAAAATCAGACGAAACAGTTGTGGATTTGACCGCCTGGGCATTAGTTAGCCTGCTGGTTAACACTGCGTTGTAATAGAGACCATGTGTTAGGTGTGTAGAGGTGGAGAATGAAATGTTAGTTGAATATATTGTACTGGGGTCAACTCAAGGCTCCTGTTGACCAGTGGGGAATCAAGTAGTCATGTTATGATTTGAATAAGGTTTGGTCCGTTGGTTTGTTGTTTATTCAAATCGAACTAGTGAAGATCAGAATTCGAATTTGTCTTCAGCAACCCATGCTTGCCATAAGGGGCGACTAACAGGATCAGATAGTCAGACTTGCTGGCGTGGTTGCCACATGTCACCATATCCCAACTGAGTACACCATTGCTCATGATGTTGATCACTGGATTGTCTGGCCCAGACTCGGTTATTTACAGGCCACCGCCTTATAGCTGGAATATTGCTGAGTGTGGCGTTAAACAAACTAAAGTAGAAACTGTAACAGCCACTGCATGACGTCATGATAGTGGTTTAACCTTGGTTATGTTTCCAGGTTTCTAAGCGCCACACCCAGGGTTTCACCAGTGTTTACATTTCTGCTTCACCTCTCACATCGACAGGTTGTGATGAAATACTACCCAAGGTAGAGACAAAACAAACTCCCTCAATCGTGCCTGTTTTCTCTTCCTTCAGATCCCTGAAGTATCCTGTGACTACAACAGTGACACCCGTGTGTTGTTGAATCGGACGTCAGAAGAGGAGTACACATGGGAAGAGCTTCAACCAGGGAATGGCTGGGTGGGCACAATACAGTGCATGGTCGTACTTCCAGGGAAGTCATGAATGCAAACCCTGCTTCCAAGATATGCAAGCCCATCCTGTGCCTAAAGAACGTGTGATTGTCCTCACCATAGGGATGTATGCCTGTGTCCGTTGCTGGAACTGGCTTGGATCATATTGTGATCCAGGCTAGTTGTGTGTGATGTAATTGAGTGCTATGTGATGTAAAGAATGCATATGTAATCTGTTTTGGTCATACATGATTTATTTGTGATCTAAGTCATGCATGATCCAAGTGAGTCATATATAATCCAATTAAATCAATATGATCTAATTGGATCACAATTGATCTAATTGGGTCATACATGATCTAATTGAGTCATGCATGATCCGGGTGAGTCATATATAATCCAGTTAAGTCAATATGATCTAATTGGATCACATTTGATCTAATTGGGTCATACATGATCTAATATGTTCTTATATGATCTAATTGAGTCATGCATGATCCAAGTGAGTCATATGATCCAAGTGAGTCATATATAATCCTGTTAAGTCAATATGATCTAATTGGGTCACACATGATCTAATATGTTCTTATATGATCCAATTGAGTCATGGATGATCCAAGTTACCAATATGATCACAATGAGTCATATATGATCCAAATGAGATGATATGATTCAGTTATATCATATGTGATCCAAGTCATACATGTTCTAACAGAATCAGGATCATATCTGATCTCACTGGGTCATATGTGATATAACTGAGCCATGCTCATAACGGAGTCATGCGTGTTCCCGTAGAATCCGATATGAATGAAAGGTGTGAGCAACGTGCGTAATCCAAATGAAAAATATTTTCTAACAATCAAGCAAGTCAAGTGTCAGTCACAGAATTTATATGTAAAAAAATAGTATTTACTACTGGAGAAACCAAACAAATAGTTTCATGTATCATTCATTCAAGCAAGTCAAGTGTCCATCACAAGTTCTATCTTAGCAAAGATTTTACTGCCGTGGACTAGGAGTTGTGTAGTATTAAGTTGAAAATTAATATAATTGTTTGTTGCCCTGATGCAACCCAGCAGTAATCCTGCTAAAGACTTGACCTGCAAACAATCAAGTCTTGACCAGACAATCCAGTGATGCTATTGTTAATTTCCAGAGTTACTGTTCTTGGATTAAGCAGTGACTGGGATGACAGCTTGATGACTACCTTTATGATATAGATATTAACTTTGACATAGTCATTTCAATCATATTCAACTATGTACATCATTGTATATAGAGTAAAATATTTGTTTTGTACGTGTGTACAGATTTGGTTGCAAATGCAACTAAAACTATATTAGTGTTTGCTGCACTATTCACTGTATCAAGTACCCTGTCAGTGCACCCTGTCTAGCTTCTAAACCAATCAGTCCATAATATCTATGAGCATTCTTCTAAGACCAAACATTGGCATCAATATTGGCAGCACCATCACTGACATTCAAACCATTTTGACTCATGACCAGATCAGCTTCTTTGTAACACAATACTTCCATGTAACATGAGGCAAATGCTTCATGACAGCCTCATTATCTATATGTGTTACAGTTGTAACAAAGGATGTCATCTTAGTACCTACTTGCCATTTACACCTTCATATCCAGGTTGTCTCAAAATGTTTTTATGTGAATTTGTTTATGAAATCCAGATTGTTTGGACAACAAAATGTTGTTTTCAGGAAGTTCAAGACATGAATCAGATGTTTTACTGTCACTTCTAGAGATGAGACAGTGGGGAAGGTATCTGATGAGGGTGTCAAGGGGTGAGTGGCTCAGTTGTCCTTGGCACTACAGTTTCGTGTGCAGTTGTGTTCTTTGATCCAATGGTTTCTATTTCTGGTTTGCCTTGATTATGTTTCAAATTTTGTCACCACCATACTGGCACTCATGGATTTCACCAAAGTGGTGAATGTGTGAGACCTCCATCACTTCTGGGTCTCTTCCCACATTAGGCAGACATGCTGGGATTTGATGTTCAAGGCAGCTTCAAACCCAACTCACTCACTCACCCTGCCACCATCTGTGGTAAACGTATTATGGTATAAAGCATTCCCCTACCTTAAAGGAAATTAACGTTCAGATGTTTACAATCAAATTGAATACCTACACATTGAGGACAATTGTTTCCATTTTAAAATGCCTGATTATAACCATTAACCATAAAAATTTAGTGTCAGAACTTTATTGATCATATATCTAAACTGTGGTTGCAAGCATGTTAATTTTTTGTTTGAACTTCAATGTATGTTCAGCTGTAAAAATAGTTGTTATTGAATATGCATCTTCAAAGTGGTAGAAAACAGTTACATGACTTCCCAGCTCGGGCTCAGTAATAAGTCACCAAGAGTAGTCTCCCTTCAACATGGCTTCTCTTTCCTCATAGACAATGTTTTGCTAAAACAGTGTATTGTCCAATAAGAAAAATGTGACGATTAACATGGACCGAAGAAGAAATATATTTCATAGGAAATACAGCTTATGATGTAACCTGTCACATCAGCAAACTGAGGGACTGAAGTAGGTTTATCTGCACAAGCACTTTATCAAATGGGCTAAACCACCACCTCTGGGAACACTTCAGATTATGTTGTCAAAACTGTTCATATTCATATTCAGTAAAATGTAGCACCTACATGTATTGTGGATGTCATAGTTCCCATATACTGGAATATGTCAGTGTTTAGAAGTTGTCATTCAATTCCGTTTTATGATGATCTTAAATAATAGATAGGTATATATGCATGCATGCATTCTTAAGATATATATGATCTTAAATTATATATGTGTGCATGCATTCTATATATATATTGAATAAAATATCATTGACACTGTTGTGTAGTGTATACTTGATTCAAAGTGTCAATATATGTCTGTTATTGATAATGGAAGCCAGTTGTGTGAATCCTGAGCGTGATAGTTTGAACGGTGTTGGGAACATCCATTTGATTTCTGTGGGAGAGGAATGTGTAGTTTGTCATTAAAATATGCTGAATGGTTTGGTAGCAGTGGTGAAACAATTAGCAGTTTCTTAGTGGAAAATCATTTTTATGTTATTATTGAACATCAATAGATAATTTGGTGCTCAGTAAAAAGTAGTTTGTTGGAGAATAGTAGAATTGTTCCTAATCAATCCCGTAATCAAAATGAAAGCTTTGTTAGAGATAAACTTTGATTTGCTATGTTAGTAACATTTCAGTTACATTTTCAAATTTAATTTGTGAACATCATCATTTTTTATTTGAATTGTTTTTTGTCAATTTTAGCCTTTTAGACCTAGTTTTGTTTTCTTTTTAGTTGTATTTAAGGTTTTAAGATATGGAACATGTGGATTTAAAATTTCCACTTTCAAATACCAAAGATGGCTAGTTCACTTTGTAGATGTATTCAGTCACAAGTCAATCTGTTTGCTGTTGCCACATGAAATGTGATGACGGTAAACATAGTCGATGTATTATTGGGCCTGTTGTTATTAACTGGACTAATATCAATGTAGGTAGGCGAGAAAAGTCTTCAAGACCACAGTTTTGAGGGTAGTAGTACTGCTTCTAATGAATTAATGAAAATTGACTCATTTTAACATAAGGAAGGATGACAATATATGGGTGAACAACTTCTTTATTACAGTGAGAGGGACGTTTTGGAGTAGGATCTGACTAGGGCTGGGACAGATCCAAATTTTCTACCCGGGTACCCCACCCCTATTATCTTACCCTACCCTACCTGGATACCCGTTATGTTAATTCCTGACATCAAATTTATAAGAAATGGCAATATATTCTTCAGCTTGGTGGGTAAAATTTCGAGTTTTTCAATATCCTAACCATGTATTACATTCAAAAGAAGTGACTGTAAATTATGTCTAAATCTTCAAAGACAATACAACTTTTTAATCATGAAATATTACATTGTTTAATGTATTAGTAACAAGACCGTAACGGTCCGGGGATTGAGACAGGTACACAGGTCCAACTCATTACCCACCCATCCGGGGTATCCAGGTACCCAGCCCAGCCCTAGATCTAACACTGTTATCACTTGCATGATAATTGCTCCAACTTCTAAACTCACAAAGAAGTTACATTTTAACATGGCAATTTTCAGGGGGGGGAAATGACTGGGTTTGTTTTGTTAGAATAGCGTTTTCTATACTTACTACTCACAGTTTGTAAGGACATTGGTGAAATATCCTTGGGTTTTTTGTTCACTGCATCCAACTGTTATTCAAACATATTTTGTGAAACATTGTGAAATATTTGTTCTTATTTCAGGGATTTTTGTGAGTTGGTCTTGGAAGGCTGTAAAGTTGTAAAGCTCTCAGTATTGATATCAGGATATTTCTTGTCACATTGTTTGACATGTGTTATTAATGCCATGATTCCTTGAATCAACATCTGATGTAGACTTCACAGGTTAAGAAATCCAAAGTCAGTTTTCTGGACACATGGGCAAAGAAACTTGAAAATTGAAATAGCACCTCTCTGGAAACAATACGACCTGTGTGGAATAAAAGCAATGAATATGCACACTCTGAAATGAATGAACACCAGTCATTCATTCAAGGATCTCAACAACATATATGATAATTATTCTCAACTCAAATTGTTCTTCCAGGAATTTTTTGCAGTATTGGAACATTAATGATGTGTCATATGGGTTAAGAACCTGGCTAGCTATTCTCGAAACGTTTGTAGCCCTACGAACTTCTTAAGCCCATTCTTAACACATTGGCTACGATCAAAGTTAAGAATTCTTAGGGCTACGAACATTTCGAGAATTAGGGCCCTGGGCCCCGTTTCACAAAGCAATCGTAGCGCTGAGATGATGGTAACTCCCATACTTTAACATAGACTTACGACGTAGCACTACAATAGCTTTGTGAAACGGGCCCGGTGTTTTCATTCAAATGGGATTGTCAGAGACCATTGTAATGGGATGTTAATATCAAATGGTTTTGTCTTCAATCAGTATGTCTTCAGTCATCATGTTGAATCAGAAAAATATTGCAAAACCGGGAAAATTCATGAACAGAAGATCAAATAGATGAAACAGATCTTCCTTTTGTTTGTTTCAAAGGCAGCTGGAAATGCATAGATGGTAAATACACAATAATTTTGTTTTTAACTGATTTGACAATGTGGCATTTTATCAGATGAAAGTGGGTTATTCATTAGCATATTTTCAACATGTGAAACGTTGTGTTGTGCTGTACATTGAATACAATGTTTATGAAACATGAAGCACATGAAATGCACTGTAAATATAATCAAAATAAATTGTACATTTAATATCTTACATGAATTGTGTTCTTTCTTTATTGTCTTTTATTCATTACTCAAGAAAATAAGTTAGTGATCATGTATATTTTATAGTATATTTTAATGAAATGGTATCTCCCAAAATATTCATGATTAATTACTTTTCTGTTCAGTATATTAATACACCAACATTCATTGTATATCTTGTATGAAACAAGAAGCCAACATAGTTCTCAGACCATCAGACCCAGGGCTGAAGCAGGTTATTTCTTTTATTCAAACCTCATGACATGAATGTCCTGACTCACCTAAGGTATGCAACTCTGGCACATCAAATGAAGATGCTTCGCAGAAGTGCCTAACTGTAGGGTCATATTTCTTCAATACATTAAAGGCACAATGTCACACCACATTTCTCTAAAAATACATAGTGCATTTCTCTCAATTATATTAACTGTCAGCCCTCAGGGAAGCTACCATATAATTTATTCGAAAAATATTACGTATTTAGATTACAATATTAACTTATAAAGTTCAAAGGAACTAATGGGACCTTGCATTAAATCGACTCTCGCTCCCTCTACCGGCCGAACATTATTTCAAGCGTACCCCATAGAGTTATGTCCCTTGGAGCGGTCGTTACGAATATCCTACAACGCAACTTGTGATTGAGGCCAGTTCGGCAAACACCGACAACACCGCTTGCGACAGTTTTCGATGTACGGAGCAATTGTTTACATTCCATATATGTCAAGTGTTATCTGTTTCGAAGCTGTTCGCCTCAAAGTTTCAATTATCGATTTCATGCTAGTTGTAAGGGATAATAAATCTTCAGTAGGAAGCTAAATAGGACTTCATATGCCCCGATGTATAAATATAGGCCGAAATATTGTCGAAAATTTGTGATATTGTGCCTTTACTAACTATTTCGAAAATGGTCGTGCACACCTCACATATTCCAGAAGAGGAGTCTGATGCTGCTGATAGCAATATTTAAGTAATACACATCACAGGACATCTGACACAGTCATCGATGTACCTACAATGTTGCACAAGGGCTTAGTATACATTGGCGGTTGTCAAAGCAGAAAATGGAGGCAACTTGGGTCCTTATTCTCGAAAAGTTCGTAGCCCTAAGAATTCTTAACTTTGATCGTAGCCAATGTGTTAAGAATGGGCTTAAGAAGTTCGTAGGGCTACGAACGTTTCGAGAATAGCTCGCCTGATCGTACGCCATGCTCGACTACCCTATTCCAGCTGGTTGTAGGGCAATTTTCAGTAGCGTGTATCAACCTTTCCACTGTCGTGTATATCCAGAACAACAGATTTACTACGTGTTGCTTTGTGAAACACGGTTCCCAATTGTGCAGATCGATGCTCATGCTGTTGATCACTAGATTGTCTGGTCCAGACTCGATTATTTACAGACCGCCGCGATATAGCTGGAATATTGCTGAGTGAGGCGTAAAACTAAACTCCCTCACTCACTTTGTGAAACACATATATGAAATTCTGTGACAAAAAGACAAGAAGAAGATTGGTTTATGATGAAACTGTCATCTGTCCTGAAAGCTCTATTTGTTGTTTAACGCCACAATATTCCAGCTATATGGCGGCGGTCTGTAGATAATCAATTCTGGACCAGACAACCCAGTGATCAACAGTACGAGCATCGATCTACACAGTTGGGATACGATGGCATGTGTCAACCATGTCAGCGAGCCTGACCACCTGATCCCGTTAGTCACCTCTTACGACAAGCGTGGGTTGCTGAAGACCAATTCAAACCCGGAACTACACGGGTATTCTGTCCTGTAAGTGCACCAAGAGGGCGGTTCTTATTCACACAGTATAATAAGCATTTTGTAACATGAGAGAGACAGCACCTTACGGAACAGGACCGCGTTCCACTAGGACATCCCTGCGCAACGACAGACTTAAACCAGTGTAAACATGGGCATTACGATCATCTTAGTGCTACCACAGCTTGCGGAGCTGACACTACTATAATATAGTACTTGAGCAGGTTTACGCGTGAGAGGTAACATTCAGCTATATTCCATCAGGAGAATTAAGTATCTTTCTATTTTAGTGGCATATACTAGCGAAAATGATCCCATGCTATCACGGACTATCACGGAAAAAAATAATAAATAAACAACTGCAACTGATCTATTTACTGATGTCCATGGATTCGATTCGCTCGTCACGCCGAAAGCCCGGATTTGATTCCCCACATGGGTACAATGTGTGAAGCCAAATTCTGGTGTCCCCCGCCGTGATATTGTTGGAATATTGCTAAAAGCGGCGTAAAACCATACTCACTCACTCACTCCACGTCCAACCGACGCTATGATATAACCGGAAGGTAGTTTAAAGCCTTGTAAAAACAAAAGCGGGCCACAATATGAACCCAGCCAGAAACCCACCAATGTTCATGGCAGCGTCACAATGATCATACTATCTAAATGATAACGAACATGAAATTGGGCTGTTTATTTTTAACAAGCTTATCCTTCATTAACTTCAATACAAAGTTACAAAACAACAAACAGAATCGGCAAAAAGTGTACTTCTATCGATGGAATTAAATCACAGGCAGAACAGTGTCTAGACAGACCACACGACGACCCCTTTGTCACAAACAGGATTTCAGAGTGGTGAGTGAGTTGGGTTTTACGCCGATTTTAGCAATATTCCAGCAATATCACGGCGGTGGACACCAGAAACGGGCTTCACACATTGTACCCATGTTGGGAATCGAACCCGGGTCTTCTGCGTGACGAGCGAAGGCTTCAATCACTAGGCTCCCCCACCAGCCCTGAGTTCAGAGTAGGTTCACACCAGACAAGTGTATCCCCATCGTGCATGGATGCACGGATGCACAGATGACGATTTCGCCTCACTGACGAAACCAAACTTTGACAATGGCCTTGGAAATAGAATTCCATATATATGGAAGGATAAACCGCAGTTCCTGCAAGGTTGTTAAGAGATACAGAAGATGCCCAAAGCAATCGCCCACAAGAACACATGGCCAGACGCCATTAGACATGTACACGTGTCAGGCCATGGAAGCCAATTTGCTGATGTAAGAGGTGCAAATGTTGAATCTGGTGTGGGTGTAGATGTATCCAATTTGGCAGGACGGGATGTTATGGTAACAGACCTTGTGGATGTTGATTCTAACCCCCACATACGCACGCACGC